GGATGATCCCAGCGTGTGGCACCTTTTGAAAGTGCCTGAAAACCATACCACATGTTGACTTAAGCCTTGTAAGTGAAATTGGGTAGATGGAACCCTTGGGTGCCATCGATAGCTGTGCTAGCATGGTCACAAGTCATTGTGGCCAAGGGCTTGAGCATGCTGGCTTTGTTCAAATTGTTGATCACGCTAGATAACATGTTCTTTCCCAGAAACTGTAAGGTCTTCTCAGCATAGTTTCACTATAAACCACAAGTGGGCTCTGTGGTATTGAATAAACACAAATGCCCCTGAGCAAGCGTCTGCAATAGGGATTGGCTAGCCTCCCTAGTAGACGGGTATCCTCGCATACGAGTGGCCAGCTATACATACATACATTTGAATAAGGTGAACATGGTTTCTGACTGAAATGCTACATAAATTGCTATCCTATGTATTGCCATAAATAATAACACCTAAGAAACAAATTCTGGTTCTACAAGTCAACATTTTTTTTTCTTTCTTGATATTGAAAAGATCATTTTTGGAGAGAAGAGTCACTGTGACACATGAATTTATTATGAGATCCAAAAGATGAAAATTATGGCTAAATTCAGGACAATCTTGAACCTAAATGAAATCTACCAGAGAAATTTTATTGTGTGTGATATATTTAAAAGGAATGTTTTATTATGAATTTTTTGTTCCATGTTTCTAGATCTGTTGTGAAAGGTAAATCATTTAGCAGATCAGCCAAACAAATATCTGCTAAGAGTTTTAAAACAAAGATTTTTATTTATGCTTTGTAGACACATTTTAAAATATTTCCCTTCCTGAAAGAATTACTCATTCCCCAAGCAGAACATACATAACTATAAAAATGTTAAAAAATTAAAAGTAAACTGTTAAATTCCTAACCTATTTAAAATATATGATGCATGAATTAATCCCAAACTGAAATTATATAAATATCAATTACATTATTAAAAAAAGAAAACATTTATTCACTTTTGTTTATTAGACATTATGTCACTTAGCATCTTCCTAATTTATTTAGACTTTTCAGTTAGACTGATATATATTTATGAGTGTTCTTAAATTAAAAAAAAAATTTTTACTTTTGTTTATATTTGTTGCAAAATAAAATTCTTACATTTGCCTTGATAAAATCCATCAGTGGACAAAACGTTGGCTAAGTTTTTCCTTTTATCTTTTTTCTTTTTTTTTTTTTTTATACCCAGAGTTACATTTTCTGTTTCCTTTTGAATTTGTAGGTCTGATGAATTGGATCATGATTATGATTCCAATGTAATAAATTATAACTATGGAATTGGGTGATTGAGCCTTTTATATTATATTCTTGCTCTGTGTTGTACATTGAGCTCTACCTGGATATTATCCTCTTGAAATATATATATATATATATATATATATATATATATATATATATATATATATATATATAAGAACATTGAAGTCAACACTTAGAGGTGACAGTCTGTCTCATGCTAGACGCAATCGTCAGGCCAGTTATATTTACACATGCTCTATCTCTGATATTGAGCACTTTATCCCAAAAATATAGCACACCTTAAGACTATATTTCTTCACACACATATATATACACATACATACATGCATATACACAGGGTATCCATAAAGTTTGTGTGCACTTCAAAAAATTTATAAACTTTATTTGTATTTGCGATAGAAATAATCTGTAAAAAATGTTATAAAGTTTAATGTACCTAGTTTTAAGTATAACTAAAATAACTAAATTGATTTCAGGAATTACTGTAAATTAGTTGGCAGATGTTTTCCATGAACTGCAAAATCATATTACCCTTTGTATTGCTAATGATGGAGGACATGTGAAAACTTAAATAAAATTTCAATAAAACCTTAAGAAAAATATAAATTTACTTCTTTTTATTCCTTTTTACAAATTATTTCTATCGCAAATACAAATAAAGTTATAAATTCACAAACTTTATGGACACCCTGTGTGTGTGTGTGTGTGTGTGTATATATATATATATATATATATATATATATATACATACACACACACACACACAATTAGTTTGGTGGTACATAGTATTTTAGAAAAACCTAAGTAAATACCAATGTAAGTTCTGAACCTTATACCCAGACAGATTTATTGACAATTTGTGATACTAATGTTTTTATCTATTTGTAGAAATGTTCATAGATTTGAATGCTGACTGTGTGTTGAGTCAAATGCTATTTTAATATGTCTATTTATAGTGATGTATGCACCCCCTGACATGTTTTAAAGATTTACTCTTCTTAAGGAATTTGCCTCGATATGCGGGAGATAGGTGAATAATGACTGTATAAACAGGTCCCAATTGGAATACAGTCAGTATATTAAGAGATTGGAATTTGTATTCAAATGCTGCTATATGGTAAACACTGCATGAGAATTTGTCACAGTTTCAAGAAAATATTTTCTCTAATGATCTTAATTAGGTAATTATTTAAAAAAATATTTTGTAGAATTTTGTGTTGCTTTTGAAGACTGGTTGCTCTCCCAAGGCTAAAGGGCCAAGTTAGCCCTACTATTTCACCCATATTGTTAATTAACCACCACATTTGTTTGACTTAGATTTGATAAGTTTTCTTAATACTGTGACATTGTTGCTCACTTGACCTATATTCATGTATCCTGTAACCTATTATAGTCTTTCAGGGCTGCACATGGTCACAGTAGCAGTAATGCATCTTTTACAAAGTTTATTCCTCTTTAGGCTGCTTTTGAATTTTTAATTCTCATTTAAGATTGAGCAATGTAAAAACAGCCTAATCTACCCTATTATTTCACCCATATTCAGGTAGACAGGAAGAGATAGATTCATGCCTTTACAAAAGGAATTAGTATGAAGTAACTGCAAACAGCATTGGTTAGAATTTGGACATGGATCACTAATTCCATTTTCAGTAACATTAACCATTGTGCTATGCATATATTGACAAGACAAATCATTAGTTGTTTGTTTTAAATAGTAAGAATCTTTGTAAAGTACAGAATAGGAATTCATTAAAGTTGCTTTCTTCAGGCAGGAAACAAAAGACAAACTTCAGATGAAACAACTATTCAATGATTAAAATATTGTTAGTTATAAGAGGTTATAATTTGTGATCGAAAAAACATTACCAACATCCTCTGGTCACAGTAGAAAAAAACAGTTTATTTTAAAAGTATAAGTTTTTCTGCTATTTATGTTGAAACTAGTTTCCTCCTGCCACCAAAAATGATGGTATATATTGTTAAGTCTTTACTAGTATTAGAACATTTTCACATGGGACTCTTTAAATGTATTATTCAACTTTTCTTTTTGTATACCAATTTGCACTATACACTAATATCTTCTGATGTATTTCTTTTCCCCAAGATTTTAGAGATGATCCTTTTTTTTGTATTATTTGTCAGAAGGAAGACACTGCCACCTGGTGTTGCTAGTGTAAGGGAGATAACTACATTCCTTGCACTAGTGATATTAAACATTAGACATTATGGACACAAAATATACAAGGGTCACTTGGGATGTAATGTTTTGTTGTTTACTCTGTTGGTTCACAATGTTAGAGATTAATATTGATAGTATGACTGTAGAGGTTAGACCTTTCCTGCTAAATAACCCATAATCATTTTTACCTTGTTACTCATAGCCAATGAGTGGTAGTCTGGCAAAATGATGTCTGGCATGAAAGTGCATATAAAATAATGGTGTGTGATTGAATTTTTGCATGCGGAAAAGTTTTCATCCACTAATATTCATTGATGCTTGATGAATGTTTATAGAGACCAAACTATGACTGTGAGCACAGTTAGGTGGTGGTAATTAGGTTTCAGCAGTTGCAACAGTGAAGCATGTGACAAACTACATTTGGCTTAATAAAAGACAGCCTACAGAGACGATGTTTCCTGACAACACAGTTGCTGTAGCGAAAAAGTAGAAAAAATTTCATTTCATTGTTGAAAATTTTCCCTATCCAATGGAGTCATTTGTACTCCTCTATATCTGTTGTAGTTTCTATCGAAAGGCATAAAAAGCATTATTTTTGGAAGATTCCTCATGCAAACACACTTTATTATGTGTATTATATAGTGTGCAGAAGAAATACCTCCTACATAATGGTAAAACATTAGTAGCTTTGTCTAGCTAATGTCTTACCATCATGTGGGAGGTACTTCTGCCTCACACTGTATAATTAGATACTAATTTTTTTTTTGTTTCCTGTTTGTTATCACATTAAAAAAAATAAAAAAAACAACCATAGTAAATTTAACATATATATTATAGGTATTTTCTAAGCATAGCTTAGATGTGGCACAAAGCCAAAAGCATGAAGCACCCAATGGGCTTCAAACTCACTACTCGGTCCTAATTGATCTAGTGAGGCAAGCTTGTTAACCATTACACCACATCGAAATGCCCTAATGATTTTTATAAGCATAACTGAGATGTGGCACAAGGTTGAAAGTGTTAAACACCCAGAGAGGATTGAACTCACTACTCAGTTGTAATTGATCTAGTGACACAAGCTTGTTAACCATTACACTGTGTCAAAATGCCTAAACATTATATAAATTATAACCTAGAATGTGTTTCAAGATGGAGTCTGTGTACATTGGGATTTTTCTGTTTTGAAAGGAAAAAATATACTTATCTGTTTGCAAAAACATGTAAAAGAAAAAAATCTGCCAACCACAATTGTAAAAATGTTACCACTTTATTTATGAATTTTTTCTTACAAAGAACAAAAAAAAACAAATGTATATATCTATCTTGCATGGAGGTGCATGTATAATTTTGACTGATTTGTAACCAGTCTCTTTCATAATTGTTTGAAACTTTAAGAAAAAGAAAAGTTTGAATGTCCACAGATTCTACTTACACCAATCATAACTCTGCTCTTGGTGCTGGGATTACTAACCAACTTGTATTGGATTGGCTGGAGTTTGTTCATGACCCGTTTCCATGAACCTCTCATTACAGATCCATCTTACCTCCATATTTGACACTGAGAGAGAACTTCCAGAAATGTCCAGGGTTCAACCTTTTCCAGTGCAAATGTGAAATTCAGGTACTAAATGATAAGCCTTCTTCAACAATTACAAATTAAGAGTATACAAAAAGTGAATGACTGAACATTTAAAAACATAAGTGTATCTTGAAAAAAATGATTACAAGTGAAAGAAAACAGGCTAGTATGATATAACAGTATGTTTTTGTCATATTTATGGTCCATGAGATATGTGGATATGTATAGATATATTTGCACAATATTTGTGTATGTGTGGCTTTAAATGAAAGTTTGAATCAAAAATTTTTTTTACATGTCTTCTTTTGAACATTTTACATTTTTCTCCAATGTTGTTCAAAGATGAACTCAACCACTCATGGAATAACAAACCAATATTTATGGCACTTTTCTCAAATGGAGACAGACTTTGATGACTTAAAATGAAAGCAAACTTTGACAGCTTTTAAAACAAATGCAAAACCGTTTAATAACTTACTATATATTCCCAATAATATCAAAAGAAACACAAGACTGCTTGATAAGTTAAAAGTAAAGACCAAAAACAAAATTCGAAAATAATATATATATGCACAAGAAGCCTATAAAATAATACTATACAGTCCTTCTTTTGTAGCCATTGTTTTCTTTGGCTTTGTATATATTTCAGCCATTTTACCATCTGGCTTTAACAAGGCTAACACACATACACTCACACAAGTTATATAGTAATTAAATTTGATTTTTTTTTATCATAATGTTTCAGCCAATTTTTTCTCTGATGTTTTTTTTTTTTTTTTTTTTTTTTTTCCAAGTCACTCACACACATACAGTTAAGAGAAATACACTACTTAAATGGAAACTAGAATATATCAAGTAAATATAATGTTTCCAACATGGTTTCATCATTCTCTCTATATTTGATAATTGATCTCTGAATGAAAATGAGTCTTTTTTAACTTCTGACCAAATTTTGCACAGATCTTCTAAATAAACCGTTTTATTTTTTCTATTCAACAATTATTACCTTTCACTATTTACGTTATTTGGAGTATTGTCCTCATCTTTGTTGCTATATTTATCACAACATTTCAGCCATTGTATGCTTCGGCCTTCTTCAGGTGTTTGGAATGTTGAACTGAACCCTTTATTTCGCTCACTGAGGTAGACTGTTCTAGTTCTATGTGCCATGTCCTCAAGGACACATGGCACAGTGGATAAAGGCATTAGTTAGATCCAGTGACAGGGCACAAAAAAGTCTGGTTAAGGCAGTGGAGAACTTGGAGAGGGGAATAAACAAGAGATAACTGATAACTGACATCCATTAAACATGGTACGTGGAACTAGAACTGTCTACCCCAGTGAGCGAAATAAAGGGTTCAGTTTGACATTCCAACGACCTGAAGAAGGCCAGAGCATACAATGGCTGAAACATTGTGATATATATGGCAACAAAGATGAGGACAATAGTCCGAATAATGTAAATAGTGTACATAATACCTCATCTCAGAAATATAGACAGAAACTGTTACCTTTATTCCCCACTTATATGAACATTTACAAAAGTAAATGTCGAGATCTAGAAAAGTTTTTAATGAAAACAACATTGACATACAAAATGTTATAACAATCATTCTGGTCAATCCTTCTAAATAGAAGTGGTAAAGACATGCTGACAGCAACATAGAGATGTATCTACAGGTAAATCAATAAGTCTGTGGCGTCATGATAAACAAAAACATTTATTTTATACTATATGTTAACTATGCTCTTCTACCTTTCAGATGACTATTATGGAAATTGTTAATAATGATCCTCCCAAGGATTGAACTCTTCATTGCTGGCTAACAAAATATTGTTGCATTACCCTGTCTTGCTTGCAAAATAAAAATGATACTACACTTTTCTATATGGCTTATGGTCATATCATGTTCCTATATGATCATCAAAGTTAAGCTATGTTAAGCCTGGTCAGTACCTAGATGGGTGACCACTTGGGAATATCAGGTACTGTAAGCTTGGATATGTGGGTAGTGTAATGGATAACTGCTCAGAATTGTTAATCAGAGAGCAAAGTTCCAATTATGCACAAATACCTTTGGGGAAAGGCATGAATCCACCTCTTCTCCCATCTAGCTATGGGTTAATTAGTAAGACTTGTATCACTAAATATTTATTATCTCAAAAAATAAAAATAAATTCTTAGTCTAAAAGTATTTTCTGGCTTTAAATCTTGTCCTGGGTATGACAATAAACTACGTCTAGCAGCAAGGCCTCTGATCAGGAGGTTTTGCGGAGCGTGGAGCCACCTCTTAATTACTGGTGTTCCCAGGTCCACCTTGACCCGGGGAGGTAGCACCTGCTAGGGTCCCAGCTATGAGCAAATAGTTAACCCCCAAACTTGTATAAAAATGTTTTAATACTAGATATACTTTATAATAAAAAAAAAAGTTATTACCAGCAATAAATTTTGAAGGAAAAATTATTATCAGCAATACTTTAAAAAAAAATACCAGCAATATAGTTATACATTCTTTAAAAAAAAATATGACCAGCTATAGATTTCTTCAAGGAAAAATATTCCCAGAAATAAATTTTTGAAGAAAAACATATTATCAGCAATAAAAATTTTGCCGGCATTAATTAACCCATTGAGGTTGATATGTCGTAAACCAAACTTAACCTGGCTTTAAATCACCTGAAAAGGGTTGATAAGCAGTAGAAAATGACCTAATCAGTTTTCTATAAGAAGTTCTAACAATTTGTTCAGTGTGAAAGATTCATTTTCCCTTGGAATCTATGCTGGGCAATTTCATGGCCTAAACATTTATGGGAGCAAAGTGTAGGTTTGTAAAAGAAAAATTGCCACCAATAATAAGTTCTTAGCCCCATCAGAACTTGTTCCATAAAAATACATTGCTTGCAAAAAAGAAATGAGGTTCTGAGAAATGGTACCAAATGTTGATGCCAAGAAAAGAGCCCCAACTGTTCTTTTTTTGTTTTGTTTTTTGTGTGTGTGTTTTTCATTTTAAGTGGTAAATCCAGAGAAGCAGTTCTAGAAATAGACCCTGGTGAATTAAATACAAGGGATGGAATGAAATTATTGTATGAAAAGTTGAATTCTCTATTCAAAGTTGATACTAATCAAGCAGCTCTCATGGTGCATGCAGAAATTTTGAAAAGTATACTAGACTACAGAATATCAGTGTTGCTGATTGCAACATAGAATTTGATCAAATTTATTTTAGAAAATGTTCATTGACACTGAAATAACTTAATTCACTGTTAAATATTAATAAGTTAGATTGAAAATTCAGATCAAAATTCAATAAATAACTGCATATTAGGTTACAGGCTTATTAATGCATCTTCTTGTGATGGCAGTCCAAAAGCTAAAGTACATATTGGAATAAATCAACCAAAACTAAAACCATGTTAAATCTGTAAACATGAAGAAATTGGATGGATGCAGCATTTCTTGCAACAGCCAGAACATTTCATAAATATGTGACACATCCAAGATGACTACCATTATGAAACAGTGCAAAAACGGATTCAGATGCAATAAGATATTTTGCATACCAAGGGCAAAAATCCAACAGAAGTTCATTGTGTTGGAAACATCTATCATTACTCTCACCACAAAAAATAAATAAAACTTCAAATTTCAGTAATGAATGAAGAAATTTATCACAAGTGTGTTCTAGGATGCAAGAGGTGTTCTGTTCATGGACTCAAACTGCATTATTAAATAACTGATAGTCATATACTGCACAATGCTGGACAGGCTATGGGAAATTGTTCATTGAAAAAAGACCAGAATATTTAACACCATTTACATTATTCGGACTATTGTCCTCATCTTTGTCGCCATATTTATTACAAAAATCACCTGAGCCGACCAAGCATAGAAATGAATACAATATGGAAACAAGTAATAAGGAGTGATAAAGCGATAATAAAAACAAAAATTGCAATATGAGCTCTGGTGAAAACATGAAATGATAACAGCAAAAATTGCAATATGAGCACTGGTAAAAAAATAGTTGCTGAAGACATTAGGTTTATAATACCCAGAAATTCATACACAGATGTCCTCAAGAACACATGGTACAGTGGATAAAAGGTGTTAGATCCAGTGACAGGACTCAAAGAGTGTGAGTTCAATACCTGGTTAAGGCAGTGGAGAACTTGGAGAGGGGAATTAACAGGAGATAACTGATAGCTGACATCCATTAAACATGAAACTAGAACAGTCTACCCCAGTGAGCGAAATAAAGGGTTCAGTTCGACATTCGAACCACCTGAAGAAGGCCGAAGCATTGTGATAAATATGGCAACAAAGATGAGGACAATTGTCCGAATAATGTAAATAGTGTACATAATACCTCATCTCAGAAATATAGACAGATACAGAACATTTAAGTACATCATTCTGCTGTGCAACAATGTCAGTTACACAACCAACCAACCTGATAATCAAATGGCATTTAACTGGTGAGTAGTTCCACATAAATCATGCTGTTGTTGCAAAGGTATCTAGTCATTTGATGCCATGTTCTTCAAGAAGAGAACTTGGGGCCTTTTACATTCCCTTTAACTCATAAGTGGTCCTATGCAGATCATACTGTTGCTGCAAAGATATCTAGTCACTTGATGACATATTCTTCAAGAAGAGAACTTACATGCTAGTGCATTAATATTGGTGATGACTATGTAGAACAAGTAGCATAGTTGTTTGTTATTTGTATACTAATAAATATGTTGGATTAGTAAATGTTTGTACCTTTTTGGACATCCATCATAAGACAGACAATTATTTCTTACATATAGAATTTTCTTAATATTTTTCCCAACTCTGAGCAGAAATGCATTTTTGTACCATACAATTCTGAAATTAGGGACATAAACAATAATCTTATATATTTTTTCAACTGCATTTACTAATTTATAATTTAAACATAATTAGCATCAAAATAAACAGGTAGCCTTTGTCAGTATTGGCTCTTCCTGTCTGGTCTTTTCCTGTTCCTTTTTTGTTGCCCAACTCTCTCTCTCATATACGCACAGATACACAATTATTTTTATACATTGTATAGTGCATAATATATTTGTATACCAACATAAGTTATTGCCATAATATAGAGATTGCATTTGTAAATAGCACTGGTGCCAAAATTAGTTTGTTCCAACTGTAAAATATACAAATTTCTTATGAATAGCAGTCTAGAAAATTTTATTTTTACTATATTTTTGCTGATTGTCATAAATTCTATTTTGTTTTAAATGTTTTTTTCCCCCTGAATGCCAAATTCTTTTCTTGTTGATTCAATAATATTGTGTATTTTTACAAGTTTTTCACTAAATGATACTAACTTGCAATATATTATGTCTAAGTAATTGTTGGATGTCACCCAGTATTGCTGTATGAACATTTTAAATAATCATAAATTTTCCTCCCTTTTGTCATTAAAAAAGTTTAATGTGTAACTCAGAGAAAATATAACTTGAGATTGGTTCAGATAAAGTTTGTGAGGAAAAGTACTTTTAAAACCTAAAATGTCACAGCTTAGAAGTGGTGATCATTTCTTTACTTTTTTTTTCTTTCTTTTTTTGCTGTCACTGCAATCATTATGTTAATATGCTTGTAAAATCTGTACACTCTATAAAACATGTCAATATCAACTTGAAAAATGCTTTATTACATATATTTTGATTTTGAATTCCAATATTCAGTAAATATGTAAATTGCTTTCTATTATCAAACATCTGTATTAAGTATTAACAGTCTGGTCTGAATTTCTTTAAGGAAACATTTTTATTATTGATGAGTTTTTCTTCACATCCTTTTTGCAATACTTTACCTTTCTATAACCATTTAAGCAATCTGCATTGGTGATGCTTACATAAATCATAGAACATAAAACAACAAGAGAATTGCAATAAAAAACAGCAATAAAGACTAAATGAAAAACTTCTCAGAATTAATAATAATGTGCTCTCTGAAAGTCTCTTTAAAAATAGCAGTAAAACTGATTATATCCAAAGTGGGCACCAGATATTAAACTCATAATCTCTTTTACCAACATGCTATAAATACCAAAGCTTAAAAAATGGCATAGTTATAGGAGATTGCTGGTGAGTGAAAAAATAAAGACTCAGCATCTATGGACTTATCAGCACAATACATGTTGTTCCATGTGAATTTTAATATGATGCAACTTCCTTGTTCAACATGGATACAGTATAGAATTCCCTGCTTAACATAGAAAGAGAACATCCCTGCATATAAATTATCGAATTAGCTGTATTCTTGTGCTGCAGTGAATGTTTTAAACTTTCTGTTTGCTATCACAAAAAAGACCCTCACTTTCTATCTTACAGCAGACCTAAAGAAGGCCATAGAATATATAAGCCAAAACATTGCAGAGACAACATAGCACAAAGAATTATTGGAATTGTCTAACTCTTGGAACGATGAAAGACTTTTAAAAATTAAAGACAGCGTCATTTGTTTTGATGACACTTTTATACACAGGAGCAGTTTCCTCACCCAGAGGCAAGGTTTAGCAACATATATGTTCCAGTCTGTTATAATTATGTACTTGTAAAATTTACAATGATAAAAGTAGTTTAAATCAGTTTAATCAAACTTTTTCAAGGGGTTTTATCAGGAAATTACTCAACATGAAATTGCCAATTTATTTAAAGAAAAATAAATGCTGATTGTAATTTTTCTGCACAGATGAATTCAATAACACACATTTGCTTTATACACATGTTCATGTCTGCCTGCAATTTTGCCAGACTGCCACTGTCAGTAACAAGGCAAAAAAAAAAAAAGAAATGGTTTCATTGTGAGAAGGTTCAAACTCTGCTGCCATACCATGAACATCTGCTTCTAATATTACAGACTAACAATAAAATTAGAAAGAAGACCAGTTAATAAAATCCCTATTTTCAACTCTAGTCATATCATTTTTGCAGCATGAAAGTAGTGTGCTACCATTCGACAAA